CCCCGCCCTCCGCCCCCCACCCCTTGGGGCTGCAGATTTAAATTAAGAGGAAAGAAAGAAGAAATTTTCGGTTGCATTTTTACTGGAAAAAAGTCAGGACTTATTTCTGAGCCAACTCCTGAAACAAGCTGTATCCTGAACCTCCTGTGAGGAAGGGGGCTGCCCAGAAGCTACGATTGAACTAACTGCCCTCAGTGAGCAACAAAGACATCATGTTTTGTGCTTGAGACTTCAGTCTCTATTGACTAGAACAAGATATAATTCTGAAACTGCCAAAGTGAAGGCAGCTCCCACCACCCTGGGGCCCACCCAAGAAGCGCTATTGAAACCTTTCCTGCTTTCCAATGGTAAGGCTATGTTCTTCTTTTAAGACTTTATTTTTATCTCTGGAGCCACTCTTCGGACTGTTCTCATGACCTAGGGAGTTGTCTGGATTCTCTGTTTTTAGGCTGTTAGTGGAGAAGGCTGCAGTTCACCACACACCACAGTGCAAGGTTCGCAGACCCATTAAGGGAAGAGGACTCCTGGCTAGGCATTAAACATACTCCTAACACAAGACCCTACACTTTCAGGTGGTCTGATTTGGACTTTTATCTGGTCTTGTCCTCAGAATCTGAATTATATTAAGTGGAAACATTCTAGGTAGTCAGACACCTGTTTTTAACGCTTCCTAAGGATATGAACACATGAACTTCACCCAGGCTAAGTGAGCAAGTAGCAGTAAGGGGAGATAGCCAGGCCCCAAAGGCCTTCAGCTTGGCCATGATGATGGAAGACCTAGAGCTGACATGTGAGTGAGTCAGGACCACCACGCTTACCACCGATGCTTTGAGTAGGGCACAGCTGGACATGTAAATGGGAGTCAATAAGAGTCCAAACAGTAGAGTTTTGCTTACAAGAGAGGGGATTGAGGCAAAAGAAGGTGTGCAAAGCATGACACGTGGTAACGCAGCAAATCTTTCTGGGAGCAGAGTTAGTAAATTCTTGACCTTGGAGAGGGAAAAAAATGTACCTTATTTCCTAAACATCTCATAACCAGAGGTCCATGTTCCATTAAGCATTTCATTGCCCCAGGCTGGGCCAGTAATGATAAAAATAAATCCCAAATTCAAAAAGAGAGAGTTTACAACCAGCAGACAAGGGGGAAGAAAACAACTGGATGGGGCTGTGTGAGGAGGCACTCGGAGGGCTGTTTTAGTTTAGACCTGCTTCCTAAGTCTGTCGCTCCCCCTGCCTTACCCCCCAGATCCACCCAGGGCTTCCTCCTTTACCTTCCTTTCTTAGGCTCACATGCCGTGAATGCCTTCTCGGGTCCTCTCGACTTCTCACCCTACACAGTACCCAGAGAGCACTTTTCACTCCACCTTAAGTTTCTTCTCTGCCACGTGTCTCCCACTTTGCTCACTGTCTCCACGATCTTTCCCACCTAGGCCCGCCCTTCCCTGCCTCGACCAGATCCTGGAGTCCCTGGCTTTCTGCCCTAGGTACCTTCTCCGCTTTCCCTTTCTCCGCGGTCCCTCCGGTCCACTCCAGCCGTACCCTGACCTCTCACACGCCGGCCTCTGCATGTCATTGGTCCTTTGCCTTGACCCAGCTCCCGCCTTTTAGCACCCCTAGGTCCCTGCTACCGCCCCCCCCTCCCGCAATGTCCCAAGCCCCGCCCCTCACTCACCTGAGGCTGCTCCGCGCGCGCTCAGGCTGCGGTGTGAGCGAGGGGACGGTATAGGGGAAGATGAGGGCAGGGCGGCGGGGGTCCCCCACTCTGGCCCGGGAAGCCCAGTGCGGGGGGGGTTTAGGGGGTCACTGAGGCGGTGGCAACCGGGCCGAAGCCGGGTCCCGGGTGCTCAGCGGCGGCGGCTCCATATCCATCAGCAGCTTCACCTGAAGAGGGACGGTCCCCCCGGTAAACACCCCCCCATCCCAGCCGTCTCCCCTCCCCTGAACAACTTCCGGTCCCACTACCAGGCGACAGGCGACGTGGCCGAACACCGAGCGCCCCCAAGCCAGGGAAACTGCTGGGGAAAGAAGGGAGAAGAGCTAGGGGAGAGTAGCTGAGCGCAGAAAGACTGAAGTCCGAAAGGCTTGGTCTCGTGCCGAGAGTCGAAGATTGCCCCTTCGCCTGCATCTAATTTGCAAACTGGACGCACATTGGACACCTCATGTGTCCTGGCACATCTGCCCCTAGGGCCAAATTTTGTCCCTGAACCTCGTAAGACAACATTGACTTTAACCTCTTAGCGCTCGTTGCCATTCCTGCCAAGTGCGTAGGAATAGTGAGGGGGCGGGGCTTCGGGGTGGCAAATAGTTTTTACCCTCTGGAGGGGTGTCTTGCGGTCAGTCTCCTAAGTAGCCCTGCAGATATGACGGACCGCAGAGAAGGAAGCCCCACTTGTTGACTTCCCTGCCCCTGTTTGCTTTCTCCCTTTCCTCCAGCGTTTGTTTTGAGTCATCTCAGGACACCTCCCAGTACCATGCACCTCCCTTCTGCAACATGCTCACTCCCCAGCCTGGAGAGGTCCCAAAAGTCACCACCTTTTCTTTTTGTAGCCTTGTAGTCTTAAAAAGATGCTTTATTGATATATTTAGAAAAGTGTAATTATAAAGGAAGAGGGTTGCACTGTTCACAACCCCTGGCAACCCGGAGGGGCAACAGCAAGTCACATATCCATTTTTCTTACACATATACACACTCTCTGAAGAATCCAAGAAAAGCAAAATAAGGCCTCAGTGGTGATCGACATTGGCAGTGGAAGTGGGGTAAGAAGAGAAAGTAGTGCTTGTTTCCAGAAATATTCTTCTCACTTCTAGCCCCTTGCTCCAATAGCTCTCACCTCCTGGCACAGAGTCAATGGACAGTAATATGTGACACTGTCAAAGGATGGTGGCGCCTAGGTGGAAATGTCCAATGTGTGCACCTGTGTGTGGCTTAGGAAGGCAGAGTAAAAGTTTCTGAGAGAAGTGGAGAGATGGAGAGAAAGGTTTTTCTGTGGAAATGAGGCTAACGGATAGGTGTGGAAAGGGGTTGAGAAGGTGCTTCTGGGGAGTAGATGGTGCCATTTCACTTTCTCATGAGGCAACACGGACATGGACACGGTGCCACGCATTGCTGAGCACGCCTCGCAGGTTCCAGATTGGGGCCACGGTGTCTGGCTGCACATTGTAGCTGTCATCTACAGCCTTACAAACAATGTTCAGTTCCTTTTTCCCAGGTGGTACAGGGGCTTGCAGCTGCCAGAGCCGCCAGGCCCAGGCCTTGCGGGGGCGCTGTTCCTCTCTATCCAGCTCAGCCACCTGCCAGGTTAGGCCCCCATCCAGAGATACATCCACCCTGATCACAGCCCTTCCACCACCACTCCACGCATAGCCCTTGACAGTCACCTCCCCTGCCTCTACCATCTCCCCATCCTTGGGCTCTGTGATGGCTGACTGGACAGGAAGCTCCTGAATAGATGGAGAAGAGTCAAAATCTACAGAGTCCCAGTCCACGGAAGGAGAGAAGCCTTTGTAGTCTCGCCGCTGCCAGTGGCTGTAACTTTCCTCTGGTTCCACACTCACTTTGCCCAGCCATTTGACATGGCGGGCACCCACCACACCAGGAACCACCACCCGCACAGGAAAGCCATGGTCACGAGGCAGAGGCTGCCCATTCATCTCATATGCCAGCAGGACCTCAGCTTCAGGGTCCATGGCCCGAGCCAGAGGGATGGATGCTCCATAGGTAGTCCCTGTGGGGTCTGAGTCCAGTCCCTCAAAGCAGACGTGGGCCTCAGTTTCACGGAGTTGGTGACCAGCCTTAGCTAATACATCACACAGTCGTGCGCCAGCCCAGCGTGCAGTGCTAATGGCGCCTGTTCTCCACTCCAGACCTCTTACTTCTTTTACCTGACTCATCTCAGAGCGCCGGTTGCCAGCACACTGCAGAGTGACCGTGATCTCATGCTTGGGGAACTTGTGTAAGTCATCCAGGGACAGAGACAGTGGCCGTCTCCCAGGTGGTCCTACAATATGCAGGCGATAGGTGTCTGGGTCCAGGTTAGGTACAGGCAGATGGTTTCGAGTGAAGAAGATAGGGTTGGGTGTGATGTAGGTTTCTGTCAGCAGCTCAGGGGGGGGCTCTGCATTAAAGGGGCGCTGGCTGTTGACCTTCAGAGCTGGGTGACGTATAGGATCATCAGCGTAAGGGTCAGAGGTCTTCAAGGTGGATGGCATCTTGTCTTCAGGGCTCAGCTCCCCGATCTTGTACTGAGCCAGTATCTCACGTATGTGGGACTGGTTGTGAACAGCATAGAGGGCCCAGAAGGGCTCTAGAGGACCCCCAGCTGCTAGCATCAGCTTTGATGGCCCCCCTGGGTGTAGGTCCACAAATTCTGTGACATCAAAGACCTCAGAGCCCAGAGTCACCCAGATCCTAGTCTCAGGAGTGCTGTGGGATTTTACTTCCTCTCTGGTGTATATGTGTGGTGACTCCTGAGCAGCCTGCAGGCAGAACAGGGGTGAGGCAAAAGGGAACAGAATATTAAGAAGCAATCATTGCAGCTCACCCTAAGCCAATCCACAAAGTCGTGGCCACTGGGAAATGGAAGTAGCAGATTTCATCTCTACTTGTGCATGAAGACTTGTCAACTGTGGGCTCTGTGGTAACACCCTGGCTTGCCTGGGAGCACACTGGGATCCCTGAGAGTGAAGTCTTTTCCTTTCCCACTTACCCTGCAACGACGGTCATGATAGGCCAACACTGCACCAAGGCCTAACAGGGTCCCCATGACTCTCCATCCCCTGGTGCTGGAGTTATCTGTAGAGAAGGCACGGCTGGGGCACTGATGCTGAAATGAATCATTTGTAGAGCAGGCCTGAATGCAGAGCCTTGAGTGGGTAGACTTGAATCTGGAAGAGAAAGTGAGTCTTCTTAGTAACACACTTCTGATCAGCGAAGGCCTGGGGTTTACCTCTCCCTGGCTGGCCAGTGGCTCCTTTAGTTGGAACTTATTTTCTCCAGGGATAGGTGAGACAAGTGGGATCTGGCTTACCCTTTCCTTCCTTGCCACCATCTTAATTATCTTATCTGGCAGATAAGATACTGTACTGACAGGATGAAAGGGAATAGGATTAGAGGGAGAAATAGGAATCTTCTAGAATCACCCATCTCCCATCCTCCACTCTACTTTTGGGCCTAAAAGGGCAAAATTTCTTTCTTTTTTTAAATATAAGATACTGGGGGTAAAAGATATGGGTTAGGAGACCTTTTAGGATGGGCTGGCCTACCTGCAGGCTGGTCTGAGCCCCAGGGCTACAGCTCTATGCAGCAGCAGCAGCATTGTGGCAGACCTGTAGGAGGAAGATTCTGAGATCAAGATAGGAATTCCTGGGAGGGGATGCTATTAGGGCAGTTTGAGGGAATGAGTGGGAGGAAGACACAGAGGAGGTCATCTGGAGAGACTTTTTCTGTGGTAATGAGGCCAAAGGGTAGGAGTGGGGGTCCAAATGGGCCCTTAGAGAAAACCTGGAGCACTTCAGACACAGACTGTACTGACAGGATGAAAGGGAATAGGGTTAGAGGGAGAAATAGGAATCTTCTAGAATCACCCACCTCCCATCCTCCACTCTACTTTTTGGGCCTAAAAGGGCAAAATTTCTTTCTTTTTTAAAAATATATTTTATTGATTTTTTACAGAGAGGAAGGGAGAAGGATAGTTAGAAACATCAATCATCTACCTCCTGCACATCCCCTACTGGGGATGTGCCCGAAATCAAGGTACATGCCCTTGACCGAAATTGAACCTGGGACCTTTCAGTCCGCAGGCCCACGCTCTATCCACTGAGCAAAACCGGTTAGGGCCAAAATTTATTTCTTAAGACAGGAGAAGACAACTGAAGGGCAGACTGACTTAAACAGGAACAAAAAGGTAAAAAAGGTAGTGGCAGCCTAATGGGGTGCAGAACCTGATTCTGGAGTCAAACTGCTTTGAGAAACCGGCCCAGCCATTAACCAGCTCTGTTCCCTGGGCAACATAACGAACAAAGCCTCTCTGAACTTGCTTCCTCATCTAGGAAATGAGATCACCCATAGCCAGCTGCTGTGATCAGTAAACAAGTAATAACATTACCTCTGAAGGCCTTTCAGTCCCCTCCTCTCTCTCCACCCACCCTAAAAAAATTGAACCCAGCTGGGAACTGGACCCCAATCCCAGGTCCCCACCCTTACCTTGTCTATGCCACTCCAGTGAGCTCAGCAAATTGAGGCGTCAATGGCCAGTGTGTCAGGGTATGGGCTAGAGTAGGAAGAAGGTAATTATTCTGTGCTCTGCCCTGCAACAGTTTCTTCCTCACAGCATTGAGCAGATCACTGACCCCACCAAGAGGGGAGGAGTGAGAAGAGTCCCAATGGCTGATGAGATGCTGCAGGGCAGGCAGAAAAACTGAGGGAGGAAGAAGTAGGAGCAGAGTCTGCATTTTACTCCTGGGCCATGGGCCTCTCATTCTCCCTTCCTCCCACCTGCCCTCAATCCCAGCAGCCCACTTGAGTCAGACTGGAGTGGTGCAGGTAGGGCTGACCTGCAGGGGAACTCAGTCAATTCAATGTCGCAGGTTTTAGGAGAGGCAGCCTTCTGCTACATAAAAGATGCCACGCCTTGTGCGGGTGGTGGCTCCCCACTCCTCAGGGGCACTTTAGGTAGGGGGATAGGTCCAGCACCAGGGCATCTGGTGCCCATGCCACCATCCAGAAGCTGGCACAAGAGTGTCTTGTAGCAACACCCCGTGCCCCCGGAGCACCCAGACAGCGGGAGTGGAGGTGGGTACTGGCAATTTTGTTGTCCTTGGAGTTCCAAGCACCCCTGGGTGCCAAGGCCCCCACCGTGGCCCAGGGCACTAGCCCTTCCCCCTCCACTTCCCTCTCCCGGCCCCAAGCCCCTTACCCAGTTTGAGGTCCGCGTGATGGACCCGTCCGGCGCCGGAGACTGCTGGTGAAGGGGCGAGGCCAGCGCTGTGACGTGGGTTGGCGTTAAAGGATCATTTGCGTTCTTCGGCTGGTCGCCCAGCCATTGGCGGGCCTGCGAGCTGCTGTGCCCGCCTCCTGGAGCCCAAAGCAGGCGGGGCGCCTCCAGGGCTAGAAGCTAGGGCAGTTTGTTTTTCACCCTCGCGGGCAGGGAATGGGATCCTCACTGATGTCCGGACCCTGGGCAGTGGAAGGTGACAAGGACTCCAGAGGTTGGGCTGAAAGATGGAAGACTGGGATGCCCCGCCCCGCCTACAGCTGAGAATAAAGGTGCGTTCACTGGACGAGGCCGCGGGATCCAGCCCGCTTTCTCTTGGCGGGGAGGCTCGCCTCCACCGTTTTTGATCAACATCTATGTTGCAGCGACCACAGCCCTGTTTGCCTTTTAGAAAAAAACAAGGTCAAGCGATTCTTATATACAAGAATGAGCAGAAACGAAGCCTAAATAGTGGTTCAAAGACTTTGAGATTTCGTGGACTAGTCAAATTTCTCCCCAAATTAGGGAACCATCAACACAGACTAGCCACGTTTTTTAAAATTTTGATTGGTTGTCAATTTTTAAAAATCGTCGTTTAACAAGAGCAACGACATATATAACACCCCAAATTAGGAAGATTATAATCGCTCATAATCTTAGAGCAAAGAACACTAGTACAAATAATTTGCTCTAGCATTTGGTGCAGGACTAAAAACTTGTTTTGTCATTGGCCGGCTGTGAACCTGGGGCAAAGATATCTACACTGCCCTCTAGGGAACAGAAGGTTGAGCTACAACCTTACTCACTTTACATTTAAGGACTTCATCTCTAATTTTGGAAGATCATTCCCCCCAACCCTCCCCTTTCTGATCTCTTAAACTGAACTAGAGATATTACCAGGAATCCAGGAGCCTGGGGGAGTACTAAGAAATATACAGAAAGGGGCAATGACACTGAATAGGCTCTAAAGATTTTGGCTCTCAAGTTTTCAGAAATATTTCAACACAATTAAATTTGTGTACAGTTAAATCATTGGAGAGGACTGGTGCAAGACCTGTTAGGTCTGATCAAATAATTGAATGGATACCCCTCCCCTGGAAACTGATCTTTAGGCCACTTCACAACGGACATTCCCTTTCCCTTAGACCACATTCCACTTGCTAAGACCATTATCCTTCCTCTCTGGACCTTCCCAGGATTTGGACCCTCCCAGAAAAAGCCCACCTGGAGTCCTTTAAAATCTGACTCCCCTTTGCTGGGTGCTGGCACTGGTATCCAGATGACCTAATCTATCTATCTATCTATCTATCTATCTATCTATCTATCTATCTATCTATCTATACACACACACACACACACACACACACACACACACATATATGAGCCTATGAGACCAAGAGACTGGTGAACCAGTCGCTATGACGCACACTACCAGGGGGCAGACGCTTAATGCAGGATGCCCCCTAATGGTCAGTGCGCTCCCACAACCAACCTCCCACAGCCAACCTCCCACAGCGGGCCCACTTCCCGCAGCCGTTCCCCCTGACTGGCCAACCTCCTGCAGCCCCAATTGGCTCTAATCGCCCGCCAGGCTGGGGGACCCCACCTGTACATGAATTAGGTGCACCTGGCCTCCAGTCCTATATGATAAAAGCCTAATATGCTAAGTGTCCAGTTGTCCAATCAAAGCATAATATGCTAATGATATGCTAAGGTCGCTCAACTGCTTGCTATGACATGCACTGACCACCAGGGGGCAGACACTCAGACTGGTAGGTTAGCTTGCTGCTGAGGTCCCGCCAATCGGGACAGAGTGAGATGGGCTGGACACATCCTGGAGCCCTCCCATGACCCCTCCCTGGCTGGCCAACCTCCTACATCCCTCCCCAGCCCTAATTGTGCACCAGTGGGGTCCCTCGGCCTGGCCTGTGGGATTGGGCTGAAACCAGCTCTCTGATACCCCTTGAGGGGTCCCAGATTGTGAGAGGGCGCAGGCCAGGCCGAGGGACCCCACTGGTGCATGAATTCGTAAATTTATAATCCCTTACCACTTTAGCCTTGTGCATTCTTCCTTTGACAATCCTAACACTATCTTACTAGTCTTTTTTTTTTTTAATTGGTTTCAGAGAGGAAGGGAGAGGGAGAGAGAAACATCAATGATGAGAATCATTGATCAGCTGCCTCCTGCACACCCCCTACTAGGGATTGAGCCAGCAACCATGATCTCTTGGTTCATAGGTCAACCCTCAACCACCCAGCCATGTCGACCTGGCTTTACTAGTCTTAAAAATCAGGCTCAGGTCGGCCTGCGGACTCAAGGGTCCCGGGTTCGATTCTAGTCAAGGGCATGTGCCTGGGTTGCGGGCACATCCCCAGTGGGAGATGTGCAGGAGGCAGCTGATCCATGTCTCTCTCTCATCGATGTTTCTGACTCTCTGTCTCTCTCCCTTCCACTCTGTAAAAAAATCAATAAAATATATTAAAAAAAAAAAATCAGGCTCAGGCCTGGCTGATATGGTTGACTGTCAATCAACGAACCAGGTCACATGCCCTGGTTGTGGGTTTGATCCCCAATAGCGGGTGTGCAGGAGGCAGCTGATCAACGATTCTTATCATTGATGTTTCTATGTCTTCCTTTCCCTTCCTCTCTGAAATCAATACAAATATATTTTTAAAAATTTAAATATATATATATTTTAAAAAATCAGGTTCAGTCCTGGCTGGCATGCCCATTGGTTAGAGAGTCGGCCTGTACACCTAAGGGTCTTGGGTTCGAATACAGGTCAATGGCAGGTACCTGGGTTGCAGGTCAGATCTTCACCCTGGGTTGGAGCGTGAGTGGGAGGCAACCAATGGATATGTCAAAAAAAAATAGTCGTCTGAAATTATCCCCCAGTCAGGCTCAGCCCAAGGATAAGAGTATTTCTTTTTTTTTTTTTTAAGAGTATTTCTTAACAACAGTATCATCTCCTTGTGTGACATACACATGCTGTACATAACTGACCTTTAAACCACAACTTTTCTTTGTTTTACAGAAGAAACTGAGGCAGAGAGCAGCTAAGTCACTTATCAAGGCCACAGCTGGTAAGTTGGCAAGAGACAGGACTGGAATGCCAGGTCTGTTTAGCACCAGTCCTTTTTCCTTTCAGATTCTTTGGAATTTAAAACTTCTTCTGCATCCATACCTAGTTTTTTCTTTGTATCATTCTCTCCCACCCACCTCCATTTAGACTGAGACTAAAGGGCTTCACATACAGCAGGAAATAAAAGCAGATCCAGGATAAATTTTCCTGTTGGGGTAAAGACACATGATCAATAAAAAATGCTAGTTTGGCATTTTTTAAAAATCCTTTTTCCATTGATCTTTAGAGAGAGTGGAAGTGTGGGAAGGAAGGAGAGAGAGAAACATCAGGGATCAAACTTACAACCCAGGTATGTGCGCTTGACTGGGAATTGAACCCTTGACCCTTTGGTCTGTGGGCCTACACTCTAACCACTGAGCTAAACCTGCAAGGGCAGTGATTTTTTTAAAAATCTTTTTTTAAGTCATGGTCCCCTTTGAGATACTAATAAGGCAAAGCACCCTCTCCCTACAGAAATACATACATTTTTGCATAATACTTCACGGGAGTCACAAATTCCACCTCCAATCTCATCAACTATCTGCCCAAAGGTAATAGACACCCCTCCAACCCCAATATACATGTTCTGTTAAGAGGACCTAAAAAAAAAAAATAGCTGTGGTCAGACTTGATGAGCTCTCTAGTGGCCTGGGAATAGGAGAGATTAAACAGCAATAAAGCCCGGGGCCGGTTGGTTGAGTTTCCTGTACACCAAAAGGTGGCGGGCTCAAATCCTGGTCAGGGCACATACCCAGGTTGCAGGTTCTATCCCTGGTTGGGGCCTTTATGGGAGGCAGCCAATCAATGTTTTTCTCTCACATCGATGTTTCTCTCCCCCCACCTCTCCCTCTCTCTAAAAATCAATTAAAATTTTTTTTTTTAATTCCAAAATACCCCCCAAAACAAACAAACAAACAAACAAAAACAGCAATAAAGATGCTATTTTCCAAGTTAGGTTATCTCACTATTCAAGAACAGATTAGAGGGAATAAGGAGGCACCAACATGCAGGGGAGGGTGTGTTTCTGATGCAATAAAGCTACTGGGTGCCCTTTCTTCCAAATTTCTCGTGTCAGACAAAGTTAAAAAAAAAAAAAAAAAGAAGCAACACTCCAATACACTTTTCTTTTTTTTCCATTTTTACTTACATTAAATACATCGGTAAATCAGCAGTCGCATTCTGTTACCACGATTGTTATGTTGGAAGAGTAAGGGGGGGGGAGGCAAATGCTTTCTTAAAAGAAAAAAAGGGAACCCCCCAAAAAAAAACTGATAGAAGGAAAAAATGAAGAGCTGCGAAATAAAAACTAAGATTTCCAAGCCCAAGAGAGCTCAAAGGAAAGCAGAGAGCTGGTAGGAAGTAGAAGGAAGGCAGCAGATAGGCCCAGAAGCTAAGGCCAATCCTGTTCCTAAAGGGGCTGGAGAGGGAGAAGCCTGCAGAAATGGTTTCCCAGCCCCAAGGCAATGACACCTCCTCACTCCTGCTCCATGGGGAAAGCTGCACAGAGAAAGAACTTCATTTCTAAGAGACTTAAGAGAGCCACCCTAGTTCTTCCACTTTTAAGAATGCACTGGGTGCTGTTGGGGGCTGGGGAGGTGCTGGCAAAGGAAGACAAAAATGTGTATGTATTTCAGGGCCACGGGAACTAAGGCTGCCCCTGGACAAGGAAGGGAACTGAAGCCTGAGTGGAAGAACCTAAGCTGGGTCCTTCAGAATCTCAGCCTCATGGATTTCTCAGCTGCTCTGGGACAGAAGGAAGTCTGCAAGCCAAAAGGGCAGAAAGGTTCCAATCCTAGGTCACTGAGGCCTTTCCTATATTACTTTCCCCAATTTCCCCAAACCCTAGGCTGGAACAAAAAGAAGCTTAGAATGCTCTCCTGCCTTGATGGCTTCCCAAAGACATCCTAAAATACCTGATGAGGGATGTGAAGAGAGGCTAGAGATTTAGAAAGGACCAACGTCGTCTGGTGATGTGAGACAGTTGTGAGGGACCTTCAGTGCCAGTCTCTCTGACCACGGAACAGGTGTTGTATTTTAAGGGGGCCACAAGTAGGCCTCTGTGGTGCTAGCCCCTAGTGGTGCACGGATTAAGCCACTGGTTGCATGAGGGATGAGTATGGGCATAAGCATGGAGGGACTAAACTGAAGATACTAACAGTGGAGAAAAGAAATAGGGCCTGATGGGAGGGATGGGGGTGGGGTGGGAGGAAGAACAGACTGTACAGTGGGAATAAAGATCATACCTATGTACAGGGAAGTAGAAAAGACATGGTAATGGGTGGGTCAAATTGAACATGAACCCTGGGGAAGGAGAGAAAACTCCTCCCTCTGGCCTGACTCCTCTTCACCCCTACCATGGTCTGTGCTATCCTGAGACCGCTCTCTAGTTGCTTCAGTTAATTCCCCAGGAAAGGCAAACCTATACCCAAGAATACAGGCTGGCAAGAATATAGGTTAAGAATCAGAGTTGGAGCAAGATAGCATTGGAGATTGGGCTTGAGTAGCTGCCACTCGACAGTCCCTCCCCAAACCTCATATACATCTTGGATTCCATTTAATTTAAAAGGTGAGAGGGCAGGTAAATCAATCAAAACCCCCATAAAACAAGTGTCCCAACTGAACTACCATCAATTAAAGTGCAAACTGCAGGGGGATACAATGGCTGGGGCTGAGGCCATCCAAAGGCCAGAGAGGAAAAAATGCACATGTATAAATCAGAGGATGGGTGTCAGAAACTGGTCCCTCCTCCAATTAGATCACAGCAGAACCAAGATGCAGGCAACCAGTGAAGATTCTTTGGAGGACTCTGGGGTCCAGAGTTTCCCCCACTATGGAGAAGCTACCTAAGAGACTGAGTGAAGGGAAACTAGGCCTTGGAAGAGTTCCAGAGCCACAGATGACACTGCACCTCCACCTCCGCCTCCGCCCAGTTAACTAACAACACGACTCCCAACTGGTGCCCAAGAGCTTGCCTTCCCTGTCTCACTCTACCTAGAAACACCTTCCACAAGGCCAACTCATGGATACTGCAGTGTTTTCAAATATGGGAAACTCCAACCAAATAAACCAAAAAGGAATTTTCCTTACTCCCTCCTGCTCTGAGCCTTACTCTCCCCGAGGGCCCTTAATATGACTGAACTGGAAACCTCCATCCTCAGTTCCTGGGTTCACCACCTCCATCCAAGGGAGAGGAGGACAAGGGGATCAAGGACAGGGATTGACCAAAGCAGAAGGGGCAGGAGACAAAAAAATGTTTTCTGAAAAAGTGGGGAGGAGAAGGAAAGGTAAGTAGGTCACTGTCTTGCACCTATAATACAAAGTGAAGAAAGACTGTTTTGGAAGGTAAGTCCTGGGGGATCTGACCCCCAAGCCCCAGAGTAGGGGTAGGAGGTCAGTGGCAACAGCTGCCTGGTGTTGGTTGCTGAAGCGTTAAAAAGTGCCATGACGGAGCTGTCAGGAGGCAGCCCTTGGGAGCCAGGGCTCAGTGTGCTGTTACCGTAGGGGCTGTGTGCTGAGGGTTGGGAATGGAGGTTATTTCTTAGCTCTCGTGCTAGCTCCATACTTGTTCGCTGCTAGCTACCCCCTCAGTTGCTACAACACTGGCTCTTGTTCTGCTGGGACTGCTCATGGAGATCCACACCTCGGCTTCGGCCTGCTGCACCCCCCAGATTCTGGGGTTCACTCTTTGGCAACTTCTTAGCTAGAGGCAAAAAGAGAAGGGAACAAAGTGTGGTAGATTTTAACACATCCCCCCCAAAAAGACTATTGGGTGGGGGAGAAGTAAGGGGAAATGTGAAACATTAAAAGAATGCTCTGAAGAGGAGAGGGTTCACTATTTGTAAATTATATTAAAGACAGCTAAAGGATGGAGGTCACAATAGAAAGTTAAGGTATTTCACCAGAGGAGACCCTCCCATTTATCCTTATGACTTGGGTTAGTGATCTTGCCTAGAGGTAAGGGGAAAAGACAGGAAGACCTCAGGGAGCTCTGACCTTACCTATTGCCAGGAAGAGATCATTCACGTTCATAGCTGTCTTGGCTGAGGTCTCCATAAACAATAAGCTGTTGTCATCTGCATATGCCTGGGCCTCCTGCAAGGGATGGGGTATAGTGGTGCTCAGAATGTAGGTTAAGAACAACTATGGCAATAAAATATATTAAAAAAAAAAAAGAAAAAAGAACAACCATGGCCTTTCCACTCCCATGTAGCACCAGAGCTAGGCAATGTCCTAGGTTCCTTCACCTTAACTCTCCTCTGAGCCAGTGGGCTCTGGATCCATATTTTGGTGACAACTCCCTCAAGAATAACCTACACTTTATGCAACGAACAGATATCAGGAATCCTAATTATGGGAAAGAAAGGTAAGCTGGTTGGGGGCTTTTGGGTTCTGACCCTTGAACAGTCCCTTACCTTAAATTCAATTGCTCCCTCCTTCCTGTTTTCGCAATGGTACTCCCGCAGCTGGTATTCCCTACCCACCTCGCTGCTCTGGAATTTTCTTCTGACTTCTCTAAAATCTCCTGGCTATCACTAGGGTCACAGTGTTGCTGTTTTTAACATGGTGCAGGACTGGGGAATGACATGATGAATGTCCTCAGATGAGGTTTCTAGAGAGGGCAGGTTTAGACAAAAGAGGTCCCAAGCACAGAGGGAGTGTATTAGAAAGGAGCTCCATGGACCATCTTACTTCATACTCCACCATGCGCTTGTTGGCCAGGTCAGCTTTGTTCCCCGCCAGGGCAATGACAATGCTAGGACTGGCCTGTCGCTGTAGTTCCTTTACCCATGTCTTCGCTCGGGCGAAGGTTTCCTAGGAAAACATGAGGAAGAAAACAGGTGGGCTGGAATGACCGTCAATCTAGGCCCATCACCTTTAAAGCCCAGTCTCAAAACTCACCTCTTCTAGGTGGTCTTCCCTCACTGAAACCACCCATCTATACTAAGAATAGCCTAGGTCAGTGGTCGGAAAACTGCGGCTCACGAGCCACATGCGGCTCTTTGGCCCCGAGTGTGGCTCTTCCACAAAATGCCACGTGTGGGCGCGCATGTACAGTGTGATTGAAACTTTGTGACCCATGTGCAGAAGTCGGTATTTTGTGGAAGAGCCACACTCAAGGGGCCAAAGAGCCGCATGTGGCTCGTGAGCCACAGTTTGCCGACTACTGGCCTAGGTGGTCGTCATGCCCTCACTCTGTGATGCCCTCACGCCATCACAATCCCACAATCCACCACTAGGAGGCTGCATGCTCAGAGGGTGGGTGTGGGTGGGCGGGGACTTGACGCTGCATGTGCGGAGGCAGGGCCCAGTGGCCACTCCATGCGGCCAGGCCTGGGGGTCCCACGGCCCTATGCGGTGCAGAGGCGGGACCCCTGGCTCCATCCTACCTCTTTGGGGCAATCCATAGAGGAGCCTGGATGGGTGGGTGGGGCCTACTTCTTTGGGGCGATAGGTCTAGGGGCTCCCGCACTGTGAGAGGGCACAGGCCAGGCTGGGGGACCCCCCCAACCCAGTGGACAAATTTCGTGCATAGGGCCTCTAGTCTCTGATAATTGATTACCTTTGTCTTCTTAGCACTTGGAAGCATAATTTTGTTATTTTGAGAAGTTGTTTTCTCTCCCCCACCTAATTTAATTCCTATAAGTGAAAGCAAGAATCACCCTCTCAGCCCACTTACCTGATTAGTAATGTCATACACCACAATTGCAGCTTGGGCACCTCTGTAGTACATGGGGGCCAAGCTATGGTATCGCTCCTGCCCTGCTGTGTCCCAGATCTCAAACTTGACTGTTGTATCATCTAGGCAAACGGACTGGGTGAGGAAGGCCGCTATGGATAAGAGAATGGAGAAGCAGTTGTGAGAGGATGAATGGGAACATTCCACACCCCTTCAAAATATCTCCACTCTTAGCCTAAGACCAGTCATGACTTGGGCAATTCAGCTACAGGAAAAATTTTAGTGTTCTCTTTATATATATTCCTGGAACCAGGAGTAAGACCACAAGACCACGCTTGGCTAAGTCCTTCCTGCAGAAGTTTCTCTCGTCTAAGGAGTGGGTGCATATCATAAATAAAGTATGAGGGACAGAAAGAACTGGCACTTACACCAGAGTCATCCCTCTTCTAACCACAATAAGAGATAAGGACAGAGATAATAAGCTTCAGATAAAACTCACATCAAGAACTGAACAGAGAAGAAAAAAAATAACTGATTAGAAGATTTTAAAGTTTGATGGGAGGTCCCACCTTTGTCAATGTTATTTGTCTGTTACTTTTTCTGTAATTTTCTGCTAGCCTAAGACCACCACATTTTCTTTTTTTTTTAAAGAACATTTTATTTATTTATATTTTGTTAATCCTCACTCGAGGATATTTTTCCATTGATCTTTTAGAGAGAGTGCAAGAAAGGAAAGACAGGGAAGAAACATCAATGTAAGAGAAACACACTGATTGGTTGCCTCCTGCACACGCCTCCTGCACGCACCTCAACCAAGGCCTGAGGTATGTGCCCGGAACTGGGGACCCTTTGGTCCGCAGGCCGACGCTCTATCCACTGAGCCAAGCTGGCTAGGGCAAGAATACCACATTTTCAGGTGACTAGTACAGGTGGGGAAATAGTAACATGGAGTTCTTATAAGTGATCTTTTATTGAATTAGCAACCTACTTTTGAGGTAGTGGCAGGGAGAAGGTAGCAAATGTGGGAAAGGCAAGTGGCCTTTATCTTTCATATTTAATTCCAGCCTCTATTTTATCAGATATGTGCATCAGAATGCACATACATATATGCCTACACCCCTACCGCCTTCAACACTAATCAGCAGATCTAGGGTAGGGCCCAAGTATGCATAGGATGAAATGTTCCCCAGATGATTCTGGTGTGCATCTCTGATTATGAATCTGCTCCAAACCACCCCTGCTCAAGATGACACTCAGCTGAACTTGACTGGGATTCAGATGAGAATAGGGGGAGGGAGACAGATAAAAATTAGGTTTTATTGGTGAGCTAAGGGCAATCTTTCTTGTAGAAAGCAAGAAGATGAATATATACCTGCTTTTTGGCATTATGGCCTTTTCTTTCTTTCTGTTTTATAAGGGATTTCCATTCCAGGGAGCTAAGACAGCCAGCTTCACAGTTAGGTCCCTAGATCTCCCTTCAAAAGCCTTACTAAGTATTGAACCTTTTCTTTCCCTGAGATACTCACCTCCAATGGTGCTCTCCTGGTACTCATGGAATTGCCCTTTGACAAAACGTAACACCAGGCTAGACTTTCCCACTGCAGATTCACCCAACAGGACCAATTTGAACTGGCATATTTTGCTGGCCTGGGGCTGCCCATTGGGCCTGGCTGTGCTTCTGCTAGTCATGGCTAGATTTTCAGAGTGGGAAAGGGTGGAGGGAGGGGAATGCCACAAAGCGGCAAAGGGGGGAAGGGGGAGGGGAGGGGACTTCCAGGCTTCAACAGTCCTGTAAGAAAAAAATCGGGTAAAATTAAAATAGACCCATTATAGTTACAATCACTTTTTAGACAAAGGATAGAATCTCTTCATTTCTTTGCTCCTATCTATATATATAAAAGGCTAATATGCAAAGTGTCCCCTCGGGAATTAGACCGGGAGGCCAGGAGTTCGATTGCTTGCTATGACATGCGCTGATCACCAGGGGGCGACATGGAACGAAGGAAGGCCCTAGCCGGCAGCTGGGGAAGGAAGGTCCTGGCTGGTAGCTGGAAGGCCCCAATCGGCCCTGATTGCTGACCAGGCCTAGGGACCCTACCTGTGCACGGATTTCGTACACCGGGCCTCTAGTGATCTTATAATCATCCACCATTTGGTTACACCACTGAGTGTAACCAGGCAGCTGACACTCAGTGGTAAGAGTGGAGAACGATAAAATAAGAACTGCATCTGAAGTAGAGTTTACCCTACTACATAATCCCCAAGTGCCAACGGAGCCAAAATGGAGACTGAAAACTGTGTAGAAGTCTTTACTCCTTCCATTAATTTCTCACCATGTCTTTAAAGAATAGCAAATTGATCAACTTTTAGTTGGCCTGGAGAACATCTAGATCCACCTACAAGTACCGTAGATCCTTAGTATCTCCCTGGTTTCCTGAGGCTGTCCTTTTTAAAAAAAATGTTTTTATTGATTTTATTTTTTGTTTGTTAGTGTTTTTCTTTCTTTTTTTTAAAATTGATTTTAGAGAGAGAGGAAGGGAAAGGGAGAAACATCGTCGGGAGAGAGAAACATCGATGTGAGAGAGAAACATCGATTGGCTACCTCTTGTACACCCACTACTGTGGATCGAGCCTGCAACCCTGGCATGTACCCTGACAGGGAATTAAACTAGCGACTTTGGTGCACAGGACAACGCTCAACCAACTGAACCATACCAGCTAGGGCTTGGGGCTGTCCTTTTTCTTCCTCCTGCTCTGCTTTTTTCTAGCTTTCAAAAGAAGGGACTCATTCTAGTGGTGTGGGAATATCAATAGTGGAAGGCTATCTTCTGGTTCTGTATCCTTCATATATGACCAGTCTTCTTGATATTTCTGAAAATCTAACCAAGGTCCAACTGCCAGAAAATCTACTCATTTATGGTCAAAGGTGAGTAGAGAAATATCAACTCTTTCATTTCGCTTCTGCCACCTCTCCACGTCTGAAAGTTTCTCAAGTCTAAGAGTCAGTAGGCTTGACCTGCTCTCAACTTGCAGCTGTCTTCCTAGTGCTTAGGGATTAGATTACCCTCCATACTAAAAGGGCCTAACAGCTGTAGTCCTCCAAATTAGAGACAGAGAAAGAAGGTATACCTTCTAAACACATGCAGGAATCTCCAGGGGTTGGTGTAAGAGTAAGTCTTCAAGCAATAAATATTTGATGGAAGAATAAACTTGAGGTGTACAGGAGGTAGCCAATCGAGCCTTCTCTACCTTCCTTCCAAGAGGCTAGGAAAGCTGGTGCTGGAGGAGGCAGAGAGAGAAGTAGGGCTTCAGGAGGCTAATCATGCAAACCTGAATACTTCATCAGTCTGACTCTGAGGGGGAAAGAAACTAAGGCATTGAAAGAAGAAGTTAGTATTAGCAGAGCATGCAGAAGTTCTAAAATCTAAGCATTGCTTGGGTTGTACTTTGCTTGTTCAAATGAATTTTTCCCTTCTCCAGTTTGAATAATTTTTCCCTTCTCTAGTGACTCCACAATCATCATACTCTACAGCAGGGGTCCTCAAACTTTTTAAACAGGGAGCCAGTTCACTGTCTCTCAGACCGTTGGAGGGCCGGACTATAGTTTAAAAAAAAAAAACTACGAACAAATTCCTATGCCCACTGCACATATCTTATTTTGAAGTAAAAAACCAAAACGGGAACAAATACAATATTTGTACTTGCATGTGGCCCACGGGCCATAGTTTGAGGACCCCTGCTCTACAGTATATGTGGGGAAACATTTTGTCACTATAGCAAGTTGTTTTGAAGTCAAATCAGGGTTAAAATCTCTGCAATCCCAGTAAAGACAGAAAAATCATATAGGAGGCAGTGCAGAGTCCAATTCTGTGGCTGTGGAGTCCAATTCACTGGGTTTATTTTACAGTTCTGCTTATTAGCTGTGAAACTTGGGGCCAGTTACTAAATCTTATCAGTGTACTCCTTTTCTCATCTGCAGAATGGGTAACAGCCTTATGAGGACCTACTTCCTAAGGTGGTGAGGATTCAATAACACACATAAAGAATTTGTGTGTTTGACCTAAAGTGTTCAAATGATTATTAAGTTACTAATCATTATTAATATGACATCAAGAAAAATTTTCTGGCCTTGGCCAGGTAGCTCAGTTGGTTAGAGCATTGTCCCCATAAGCCAAGGTTGCAGGTTTGATCCCCTCAGGGCACATATAAGAAACCAATGAATGCATAAATAAGTGGAACAAATAAAGTTTCTCTCTCTCTCTCTCTCTCTCTCTCTCTCTCTCTTTGCAGTCCTCTCTCTCTAAATTCAATTTTAAAAAGAAAGAAAAAAAATATGTTCTGCTCAAGTCTTACCTTCTACTTTTATAAAATGGAAAAAATGCCTACCTCATAGAGAGGCTATAAGGACTAAGTGAAAGATTTATTTTGCATAGTATTAACAAATGAGATAGTTTTGCTACTGAGTGGCCCTAATTCACAGAAAAGATCAATTTAATATACTAAGGTATAATTCAGAATTGGTTATCAATATATTCCTAAAAAGCAGCCATAACATAAAAGAGATAGAGAAAAAAGAAAGTGTCGGCTCTGCCTGGCTGAGTTGGTTAGAGCATCTTCCTGATATGTCAAGGTTGCGGGGTTGATCCCTAGTCAGGGCACATACAAGAATCAACCAATGATTAAGTGGGAACAGCAAATCAATGTTTCTCTCTCTCTAAAAAAACAACAAAAAACAAACAAACAAAAAAAAAACCCACAAAAAACTATAAAGAGAAAATTGGAAGAGGAATGAGATAGAAGTGAGAACTTAGAAAAGTATATTAGAGTAAGACAGAGGAATGGAACAAATTACTCTGATCCTACTAGGTATTCTATAGTCTCTTAGGCCAGTGTATCCTAAGAATCCAGATTCACATATGCCATTTTTTTTATTAAGTTTTCACTGGTCTATGATGAAATGATAAAAATAAAGACAATATAGCATGTTTTTCATAAAACTAAATTTATTAAACTTGAATATATCCTTTATAACAAGATTTATAATTTCTTAGAATTAATTTTCTCTCATACACACACACACACACACACACACACACACACACACACACATATATATATGAAAAACCTCTAAAATCTATTGTGAAGTAAAAAATATGCTGTAGACTAACACGTGTGGTTGGATCCTATTTCTGTAAAATAGACAATTCTGCACAGAAAAAGGTATGGAAAGATACACATCCATTTGTTAACAGTGGTTACCTCGGAAGAGAGTGGAAATGAGGAAAATGGGATGTGAAGGATTCAGATTTTTTTCATTCTACATAATTCTTTTTTAACAGGAAATATATTTTTTAAAAACTTCCTAAACAGCCGAAACTGGTTTGGCTCAGTGGATAGAGCGTCGGCCTGCGGACTGAAAGGTCCCAGGTTCGATTCCGGTCAGGGCATGTACCTGGGTTGCGGGCACATCCCCAGTAGGAGATGTGCAGGAGGCAGCTGATCGATGTTTCTCTCTCATCGATGTTTCTAACTCTCTATCTCTCTCCCTTCCTCTCTGTAAAAAATCAATAAAATATGTTTAAAAAAATAAAACTTCCTAAACAACTGTTTGGGTGGGTTTTTTTTTTTTTAATGCTTAAAATATTTATGGTGACAGGCAGTAGTAAACTTTCTAAATATAATTACTTGGGGGGGGGGGAACAATTAAAATTAATTGGTCCATGAAGCCCAAAATTCTGTAGTGTAAGAACCAGTATTAATTAGCTTCTTAACCAATGTTATAATTCTTTAGCTGTTTTCACCCTCAAACCTTTAGTTTCTCAAACTGAGGCTAGAAGCCAATAGTGGCCGTGAAATCACTTGGTGGATGATGATAAGTATATTAAAAAGAAAATTAAGCGTAACTACAAATAGTAAGCATAAGAATCATGTTGTGCCCTGGCCTGTGTTTCTCAGTGGTTAGAGTGTCGGCCACACATTAAAGCAGCGGTTCTCAACCTGTGGGTCGTGATCCCTTTGGCGGTAGAACGACCCTTCCCCAGGGGTCGCCTAAGACCATCATGCATATCAGATATTTACATTACAATTCATAAGAGTAGCAACATTACAGTTATGAAGTAGCAACGAAAATAATTTTATGGTTGGGTCACAACATGAAGAACTGTATTTAAAGGGCCAGAAGGTTGAGAACCACTGCATTAAAGGGTCTTGGGCTTGATTCCCAGTCAACTGGGAGTACCTGGATTGCAGGTCTGATCCCTTTCCCAGTCAGGGTGTGCGCTGACAGCAATCAATTGATGTTTCCCTCTCTCACACCCCACCCCCCCTCCTTTCTACTCTCTCTAAAAAAATCAATGGGAAAAAATATTCTCAGGTGAGGATTAATAGCAAAAACAACAAAAAAGAATCATGTTGTAAAAATGTCTCCTGTATATGTACACACCCTGAATTTTGATGTAAATCGCCTTTTTTTAAAAAAGTGATTTGTGATCAAAAAAATTTTAAAAACACTGCTTTAGGGAGGCCTGACCCTGAAAGATGGGGTAGCAGGGGATGGAAGGAAGTCTAGTTTCTGGCCAGCCTATAGGCCATAGTTAATTTCACTCCTAGATGGAATTAAGATGAGGACTGAGTACAGGGATTAGAGGATTCTCCAATCCTGCTACTAAAGTTATGAAAACTGAAAGCCAAACTAGACAGACACAGTCCCATGTAGTGGTAAGGGCTTTGTTATTGTGCAAGCCCGAATTTTATTCCCTTTCTCAGTTAACCCACTGTGATCTTAGGCTACTCACTCTCTTTTGCCTTTCTGAGCCTCAGCTTCCTTATCTATAAGGATGAACAGGGGAGAGGGGAGAGTAGCAAAGAGCAGGATTTGAATCCAAAGTTCTGGGTACATTTAAGAAATTTGTTTCTCTTAGGGTTACTCAACTTCTGTGAGGATGAGTTATTATCTTTTAAAATATATTTTTTTATTGATTTTAGAGAGGAAGGGAGAGAGAGAGAAACATCAACGATGAGAGAAAATCATTGATCGGCTGCCTCCTGCATGCCCCCACTGGGGATCAAGCCTGCCACCTGGGCATGTGCCCTGACCTGGAATTCAACTATGACCTCCTGGTATACAGGTTAACACTCAACCACTGAGCCATGCCGATGGGCAGGATGAATTATTTTTAAAAACTTATTTATGTGGTTCATATACATTGTTTCATAGGAAAAGAGGCTAGGTCATCATAAAACTCTACACTTTAAATTTGAAAACAGATGACACAATAGAAAAATAACTACATTAAAAAAAATAACTGCGGGGGCGGGGAAGAGGTTGGGGGTTAATGGGGGGGGATGAGGACATCCTTGTAATACCTTAACAAATCAAGAAATTAAAGATGAAAACAAAAATAAAAAATAACAAAAGAATAACTGCAGATGATAAACTGATCAAGGTTCCTTTAGGTGACATTAGACTATACTCTTTTTTAAATCCTCACCTGATAATATATTTTTATTGATTTTTAGAGAAAGAGAAAGGGAGAAACATCCATGGGTTACCTCCCATACATGCCCTGACTGGGGATCAAACCTGCAACTTTTTGGTGTATGGGATGACACTCCAATCAACTTAGCCACTCAGCCAGGGCATATATTATACAGTACTCTAAAGAAACAACAGGAAAAGTTACTAGAATCTTCAACTTATTCCTTTACCTTTTTAAAAAATATTTTTTTTATGGATTTCAGAGAGGAAGGTAGAGGAAGAGATAGAAACGTCAATGATGAGAATCACTGATCAGCTGCCCCCTGCATGCCCCCTACTGGGTTTGAGCCCCCAATTCAGGCATATGCCCTGACTGGGAGTTGAACCGGTGAGCTTAGTTTCTTTCTGGATGGATGCTCAACTGCTGAGCCATATCCAGCTGGTCTACCTTTTTATCTATTTTAAAACATATGATCTAAGGGGCAGAACACTAAGCCTTAATGTTACTATTCTACAAAATTAAAACATGGAAATTAGAATAGACTGAATTCTCATGGGCAGACACATCACTGTAGGCTTGGGAAAACCGTAGGGAGTTGGGGAAGAGTGAAGATAGGAAACAGTCACAGACATACTCAGGTTGCAAAGCCCTGATCAATAACCCCCACAGACAGTAAGTCAAACCAGAGCTCAGACACACAATCAGCAAACTTTCTTGCTACTAAGCAACCTTGGCTTATCAGAGATCAGTAACCAGTGGGTTATAAAAGACTACTTCCCACCCCAATGTGTCACCCTCAAT